CGACTCAGTTCTGCCTCTTCTTTTCTGTGTGCTTTGGGTGAATCATGGCACCAGTGGGAGCCTCATTTTCCTCACCTGTTCCTGTGCCAATCCCAGCAGGGCTGCGGGAAAGCTTACATATGACTGGCATCGTAGGCGGTGCCCAGACATCATCTGGCATAAAAAGTGCTTGCTCAGCTGGAGGTCTGAGGCCTCAGGAAAAGTGAACAGGTGTTTCTGAGCCAGGGTATGGCTGGGCACACCGAACGTTTGAGCATCTGGCCACGTACAGTGGTTTGGGATTTGGGGCCACCAAAAGCACCAGCAGGTCACATGTAAGAGAGGCCCGTGTGTCTGGAGCGTTTGCCTGTGTCTGTGTGTACCCCTCTGTTTACACAAAACCTGGTCAGAGTGCTCCTGTGCCTCCCATCTGCCCCCTTTCTTCGGAGTCTTTATATATATAAATTTTTAAATATATATATTTAAGTTTCAGTTTTTGTGGTGTTAAGGGTAGAACCCGTGCCTCATACAAGCCAGGAAGTGCTCTACTGTTGAGTTACATCCCAAGCTTCATGGTTTTTAAATTGACTCTTTTTAATCTAAATGCACATTTAGACATAGCTAAGTTAAACGTGTATATTTTAAGTTGATGCTGAAAATTAGTATAACTGCTAGAATGTAAAAATCTTACAAAACTATCCATACCTTTGAAAAATATGTATATTGGACACCTTCTATGACCGACTTTTGCTCAGCCCTGGAGATGATTAGCGTGGTGGTTGAGTGTCTGTGCCTCCATACTCTGGTGTGTACACATGTCACAACGCTTGTGTCTGCATATGGTGAGTCTCTGATGTAGGAGTTGGGGACAGATGTGGGTGTGGGTGGGCCTCAGTTTGGCACATGCAGGTACCTATGTTGTGCAGAGACTGGCCAGGAGGCCAGTGTTTCTTAAGCTCGTGGGGCCTGGCAGGTGGCTTTCTTCCAACCTGGCTTAGATCCATACCACAGAGGAGGAAGGCCCGGATGCCAGGGCCATGCCCTTGTCCCTCACTGTCACCTAATCCCATCAGCCATCATCCCCTGGGCTGTGGGACAATAGCAACCTTGAAGCAGTGCTGGCAGGTCCTGGTGTCTAGTTAATCCATGGGTGGGACTCGACACACCCACATTTGACAGGTGTGTTAGAGATTCCTCCCATGCTCTAACTGTCCCTGTGTGTTCAAGAACACACTCACAGTCACTTACAGTCTTACAGCCACCTTCCCAGGTCCAGTGTGTACCTAGGAAACCAAGGCACATTGTGTTGGAGGGAAGGCCTCAGTTCTACTGGGACCCTAGGCACAGCATAGCCTCTCACAGTTCCTGCCAGGGTCTCTGTTTCTTTGGGAAAGGTCTGGATGCTTGCTGTGTTGTCGAATACTTCAGATTGGCTCTGGGAAGAACAGAACCAGGCAAGGGATCCCGCTGGCCCTACTCCTGGGGCTCCATAACAGATGTCCTCTGCCTCTGGACACTTTCACCTTTCAAAACTCCCTCAACCCTAGAGAAATTAGGTGACTTTCCCCAAGGGCCCACACATGTATGGGAGGCTGGATTTGAACTCATCTGCCTGAGTCCCACTCAGTCTCCTCCTCACTCCTCTCTAAGCTCTGAGCACTGCATATATCATGCAAAGAAACTGAGATGCAAGGTCCCAGACAGACAGGGAGCTGAGCTAGGTCTTCAATGCTGATCCACAACTATCAATCCTCAGGGACCTGCCAAGGTAGCTGACCTGGGAAGGACACGGTGATGCTCCTGAAAGTGGTGTCCCACCTACCCTGCCTCTTCATTCTCTGTCTCCTGCTTGCTCAGGTGCCTCCAGGATGTTATCACCCTTGCCCCCCACATTCCCTAATGTTCTTGTCCAGCAACAGTCTGCAGCAGGAGCAGTCACAGGAGATAAACCCACCAAGGATGGTGAAAATAGCTCTACAGGGCATGTCAGCCATTAAGGGACAAACCCTAGGAACAAACAGATGTCATTGCCTGGGGAGTGGGGGGTCTTTTGCCTCCTCTGTCTGATCACTTCCATAGTTCCCATAACCACCACCAGGCCTGCACATCACCTTCCTAAACATGTAGGCCAGAGCCCCCTGCCCTCAGCCTGGTGGGTGGGGTCTGTGAAAAGTAGGACCCTGAGACAGCATTTTAATGAGTCTCCTCCCCAGGCCCACTCCCTGATCCTGCATGAGGTGGTAGGGAATGCCTGGGCTGCAAGTAGGGATGGAGACCTTGGGGGTGGGGTGGGGTGGGAGGTGAGTAGACCTGGAGGAAAAAGAGAGAAAGCAAGGCAGGAAGCAGCAGCATTTTCCTGCCTTCCAAGAGGCTGGGCCAGGTAGGTCAGAAATGTCAGTGTGGAATGAGAGAGCTCAGGAAAGTTGCTGTTTTGTTTTTTTTGGTTTTTTTCCTGGTAGCTTTTTGAGACAAGGTTTCTATAGATAGCCCAGGTTGGTCTTAGATTCACAGCAATCGTGACATGGCAAATGAGGGTCCTGCAAGGCAACAGTGCCTGCGTCCTTCTCTGAAGTTCCCTGGACCCCTCACGTTCCTTCATGTCTATAGAGTTCATTGGGTGGCCAGTGACTTGGAGGCTGAGGCTGGGCCCTGATGGTCTTGGGCCAGCTGCTTCCCTTTGGCCTGGCCTCGGCTCCCGGGGGAGTAGGAAATGATAATGAAGCCCACTGGGTCAGGATGGCACCAGATGCGGTTACACACGCAGAGGCTGT